AAAAATTGAAGTGGTACTAAGCAGCAACATGCGGAACATTGTGACTAAAGCAATTCGGTGATAGGTCATGAACAATCACTTAATGCCGACGGCGCCAACCGTTTGCTTGAGCAATAAACATTGAAGAGGATAGTTGGATTTCGAAGTAAATGCAGTGCTGCAAATGTCCTTTTACCATTGTGTTCAGGGTCCCGTCACTCCCTCCTATGTAGCCCACTTTACAATATTTGTGCCGCCCAAACCCACGTCGCCAACATGAACACCAAGACAAGGATAGACAAGGTTCTTTTCATCAGGACATGGCATAACAATATAACTGACAATATCGACCAAGACACTGATAATACCGGTCTGAGTCTGCCAATTAGAGAGCAGTCGCATGAAGCATCAATCAGACGCATTCAAGGAAGGGTACTTCACAGTTGCAATCTCAGGAGGGAACATTTGGTGAATCATAAGAAACAGTAGCCAATAAGGTTGGAAACACGATGCCGCAAAACAAAAGTCGAGATGCGCGCAAAATTGTAGGCATGGAATTACGAACTGTCACAGGAAATGCATCACAAATAAGCGTCTACACTAACAGCAATCAACTGGATAATGCTAAGCAGCTTGTGAGCTATTACTGTTGGGTTTGTGCTCCCTTAAAGATGGTACGAATGACTTCCTGGTTGTGTTGAGTAGCACAACATATGCGACACGGTGAATCCGTTGGACTTCAGAGATGAGGCAATTGATTATCCCTATTGAGTCGAAATCATGCTTAGATGAGAACCAGATATTTGCGATTTTGGTGGTATTATCGACAACGTTTCCTCTGGAAACGGTGTCTACCAGATTCAGAGGAGAAATCAAACCATCAATGTTAGATTTAATGCTCACGGACGAAGAAATCATAATCCACAGGCCAAAGATAAGGAGAATTTGGAGCTGATGGATCACGTCATCAAACTTTACAACTGGGTGTTATACGAACTATCCAAAAGCACGAACTGATGTGCTTCGTAAAATCAAACATGATGACATATTGACGGAACGGGTTGGAAAAGCCAAGTGCGTGGTTTCGAATGAGGTTTCCGTTGGTAAGCATTGGATGAAGCTTGTTGGCAAGTTCTTTGATCAGGTCCGCGAGAGATGCTGCGTTGTCTGCGTACAGAGCTAACACCACTCCTTGCAACTGCAACAGGTATTTGGTGCAGCGTAATCACTGTACCTCACTTAGCTGCAATCACAAATTCGGTAAACATCAGTACCTAGAGAAGCCCAGTGTCAATGAACAAGTATACACAAATGTGAACCTCAAGAAAATGACGTATAGCGCACCCCGATTCCCTTCAACAAATGGACATGCTCCAAGTGCAGAGAATGCAACAAATGTTCTACGGTTACAATGTGCTCCAATATTTAGACGCGCAACCAGCATGTGTTGCATAATTGTCCCATTCACCCATGGACCCGGATTAGCCCACACCACCTCAGTCCAGCGGTGGTTGAGAAAGCCACTATTGTTGCACCCGAGTTGACAACACACACCCGAGATCATTACAAGTGGCAGCTGCGAGGCTAGATGGCCTTGTATTCCGATCCTTTCAACGGCGCTTCGATAAACAGCAAGTCCGAAACACGTGTAACCATGGCATAATTACCTAGATTTTTAGGGTGGCATCAATTCGGGATCCGGTTCTCATCGCCAAGTGATCATCCGCCAAATAATGTTATAAGCGATGGAGTTGATCATTACTAAGGCACCGATGGGCCAGTTAGAAAGAGTTAACGACATAGCACAGGATTAACACGACTCCTGTCAATATCAGTCATGTACTACCAAATTACCAATTGAACGTTTCCCTTTCACCGAAACAGCGGATAGTGAGACCGGAACCGAAGCCATCTATATAGCATGTGCTGAATCCATCGACCACTTAGCTCAACGTATCCTTCGCCATAAGCTGCAACCCTACGCAATTGGAATCCTGTGCTTTGATGAATCGGAAACATCCTTCTCTAGGGGTGGTTGCGGGTTCGAGTTGGTCGCTTGTTTCCGATCCGATGGAGGTGGAATGTGACGTTCCACAAGAATCAGTTTAGGATCCACGCTTATTCTCGGTCTTTGCTAACCACCTTGAACTTGTCATCGAGTAAAACTGCTTGTTTTTACCGACGACATGAAAGTATGGCAGGCGACAATGGTGATCAAGATGATCACGACCTACTGCTACGATATTTGGACCGCAATTTTGAATGGTCGAAGACTAATGCACTTCTGCGCAATGCGGATTGCTATACACTGTACCTGTGAGACTCAAGCGAAATAGGCTGTCTGGGATACTGCATCTTGACGTTCGTCTCAGAAAAATCTGTCTTGGGTTGGTGATTCAAAATGACATCGGACGTTCGGAGCAAAGCATGTAAATGTCCAACTCCGGGAATCAACATTTGAGTTTCTTTGGAGGCCTGTTCCACACTTCCATCTCCTAGTAAATGTTAAATGTGTATGTGAGGCATTATGTGGAATACGAACCGTGGCTTAATTTTGGTATGTTGGTCTCTCGGTATAGAGCGTTTTCCTGTCCTCTGTACAGCGGTGGAGTGCAAATCAGAGGATATTGAGCGTGAGTATTTCACTTCTTGTAACGCGGTCACGTCAGAGATTATCCGATGAAGGATTAAATGTCCACGAATTGCTTTCGCTGACGTGGTAGCTGCGTATCTAAGTTTAAAGGTGATAATTTTCTACTTTTTTCTTTTCAGCCTAGTTTTTGACTGCAGCAGTGAGTAGCCATTGAATTGTATAACACTGAATGCTTGTACCGCCCTCTGCATTTACTAATCCGGGAAATACAGTTTCTTGAAGTAGCAACACAAATTTCACATGGCAGCCAATTTGCTCAATTTCCGTTTCTGCATCTTAGCCTTCCTTTGACCAACAGGTCAATTTGAGCTTTTCATCTCTGATATTGCTGCCGAGGTCGTGTATGCCAGGTTAGAAAAAGTAGTTGTTCTGGAATCTCCTTTCTCGCCAGATTATGAATTACCGTATAGGTAAAATAAGTCATTGTGATCAAGGCACATTTGCATTGTGATGAATGGGTGGAGCAGATATCTTGCGCACAAATGTGTACTAAGATCTAGAGCCCACTTTGAGATAATTTGTAACACTATATTGAATTGGTGGGTTCGGTGTCGCTCTCTCCCATCCCTGCACTCCACGACCGACGGTTTCGTCTTTGCTGAGACTCTTCAGGTGGAGGTAGCTTAGCTGGAAGAGGAACTCGGAGCATAGTGCTTGACGGCTATCGCCATGATCACTAGGCCACTGAGCTCAGCAAGCAGTGTTTGACCCAGCGGTTTGAAGTAGATTTTCGGGTATTTGGAGCATCCGCCGTGTGTCTTGCATTGCGACGCGCCATCTCACTAGTGGCGTCGGTTGACTTTGAAGTTAGCCCCTGCGAATACGATCACTGGGACCGTCACCGAGTTGCAGGGTTTCGGTGTCGCTCTCTCCCATCCCTGCACTCCACGACCGACGGTTTCGTCTTTGTTTAGACTCATCAGGTAGAGGTAGCTTAGCTGGAAGTGGAACTCGGAGCATAGTACTTGGCGGCTATCGCCAAGATCAGTAGGCTTATCTGCTCCCCGGTTAACCGCTGTTTTAAACACTCCTCTCGGAACTCAATCGTCTAATGAACATGGCGATATTCGCCAAGCACTTTGCGCCGAATTCTACCCCCAACTCGGCTATCTCTACCTGTTGTTTCTAAACAAAGACGAAACCGTCGACCTTGGAATGCATTGATGCGAGAGAGCGACTCCGAAACCCTCCTCTCCGGTGGCGGTCCCAATGACCGTATTTGCATGAGCTGACTTCAACTCCAACCGACGCCACTAATGAGATTGCGCTTCATAATCCACGACACACGGCGGGGGCTCCAAATGCCCGAAAATCTCTTGTACTATATTGTTTCATATGCTGCCTCCATTGTAAGCCCTTGTACATTCAGTTCAAACACCTGTTACCATTCCAGTTCCTGTCGCTTACTACCACAGCTTAATAAACCCATTGATCTCTAGTTTGGTCGTTTGTGAGCATTTTAATTTCAGTAGTAAAATACATGTTGAGTTACTTCATTGGTTTCCGCTATACATCAAACCACGATTTTATTCAAGGTTGCACCTTATGTGCGACACGTAACTCGGATTAAGCTTTAAAGGACGGTTGCATAGTTAGAAAATACGAAGGAGAACTACTTTCCGTTCAAGTCTTTTCGTGTACTGCACAAGGGAAATGGGCCGTGAACCTTAAGTTGTGGATTTTTTCTTGTAAATCTTTATGGATCCAGCGTGTGTTCAAGCAGCTTCATTCATATGGGAGTGTACATTACGGTCCATTGCATAGCGGTGGTCTCATCGTAAAGTAAACCTTAGAAGAACCAGTTGAGCAAAGCAAAAAAGCGATGGTCTGCTACACTCAGTTTGAGTAAGAACTTACCGCAGTAAAAGTATGTTAAACGGCTATGTGTAAGTATGGTGTTTTCGGTTGTCTAAACTGGACTTGTTACCATGTTTTGCGTGCGCCTCGTGTGTTTGAACAACCTTTGGGAGTCACCACCGCTTTTGTTTGAGTGCACATAAGTGTCCCTCTTGTATGCAGGCGAAGTTGTGAACAGACAGCGGTGCTGATCTTCGCGAACAGTAGATAGTGGTTTTAGAACGTCGCTCATTACATCATTATTTGAACTATTCGGTTTGACTCCCGAACGGTAGTACAGAGCAGGATGGACCTTATATCGAGATAATATAAATTACAGCTATCGGAGCTTTGCGATAAATCATTAAGAAGCAAACCGCTCACAGGACACTGGTCTTTAAGTGTAGCCCGAATTAGTGAATTCATCGGAAAATGAGCAACATTTTAAACTAGTTATGATATATTCGCTTGTCTCACAATGCTTTCCCTGCAATCTTCAATTCGATTAATCAATTTCCCTCTTCCAAAGCAGCTATACCTTTCCGGATTTGACCAACGGATGCAGCGATGCGAAACATGGTTTTTCAAATGAAATGCAAATGCAAATATTGGGAAATGTTCGGGATAGCGAACTAGTCAACTTTTTGCCTCGGATGGACGAATGTGTCTGTGACGCGCAAGCACTGTTCTCAAAATTACAAAAAGATCTAACAGCGTTGCAAAATGGACTGGGTTTCCTCTCAAGACAGCTCATGGCCCTGCAAAGTGGACCAAATTCAAGTGAACCAATAGATGAGCCTGCAGGTATAATGAGTCAAACCTCATCAACCTCATCACTGCCGAGGACCTCGGTTGTGAGCGATAACCGACGCAATCATCAGGCACATTCGTTTCCACAGCAGACAGACAGACACGGAGCACCGAGCGAAGAAGATAGGCTTATGGCCCAATTCCGCATTCCAAACCGACGACTCATGTTGAAAAGACAAGTACATGGCAGTAAGGCGGAGCCGAGTGTTATAATTGATAAAAACATGAATACACTCTCAGAAGAGATCACCTTTTCAAGATCAAATGTGAAAAAGGTGGCATTTATGTCACGTCCTGTATCGTTTTCAGAAAATGTATAATAAGCAACTAACTTCGGTGAAGGCTCCTTCGTCCTACACACGCAATCGAGAAGGCATCAGAGGTATTTTCTGAATCTATTGAAGATAAGCCGGAGAGCTTGTAAGCAGACGATCGCAGAAGTGACTTGTTTAATAGATGCTCGTAAGGTAAACAAATGACTATCCCTTGTAAACAAGACCTCAAACACACACACGGTACCCTCCCTCTCATTGTTCATATCATGGTTTATAGCACGTGATTTGTATATTTACGTGACAGCTTGCGTTTCGAATGTTTTTGCCGCGAGTATATGGACAAATAGCCTTTATCCAGGGAAAATATTGTGTCAAATCGTATACAGTATTTATCGCTGGATAGGTATCGCTGAATATAGTCACACCCAGTCTATGAGGCCCCAAAATAACGAGCGTTAAACGAGTAGGTGGAAATTGCAAACTTAGTTCTTGCACTACGATTAGAAATATGAACAATGAACAATGATATATTGCAGATAAAAAGGCGATTGGTTTACAAGTCCCGTAGGATGGTTGCAGTGAAAGTTAACATAAGTGTAAATCGTCAGTTTAAGCGTCTAGTGAATTCAAGTACCCCTTATTCATAGAAACATTGTAGAATGTGTATTGAATTGTTACTGTGGAGTAATATGGGAAGTAATATGGGTAAGGCGTGTCTTAAGAACATGAGAAACGATCAAAGCTTACTCGTACGCCGCCTTCTTGGACTTGGGTAAACTGATGAATGTAGTTGTAATATATCCGAAACTATATTCCACAACAGCAGTGTGTAAATAGTGAAGCACAAAAGCTGAGAATGAGCACCGCTTTTTTCGCGTTTGTTTGACGTGGACATTTCTGATTATATAGCGTAATGTAGGTGGATAGGCGAATCATCGAGACGTCTTTTGAATACCGTTAGCGGGGTGAAGAAACAACGCATGTGGGAATAGCGTTCCAGTGTTCGCATACACGAAGGGAAAAGAAATTCCGGCGGCAGTTCAACCGGCTGTATTGTGTGGCCAGTTTTAGATGGTGTCCTCTGAGTGTTATATTGCCATTCAGCTTTAGTAGGTGACGACAACAATGGTTTGGATTCCTCAGGATCATATAAGTCATTATCAAGTCGCCACGCAGGCGTCGATATTGTCCACTGTAGATCCCGAGGGTTTTCAGCTTCAAGCGGTAATGGAGATGAAACTAGGTTGTTATGCGTAGTTTTAATGATACTCAGAAGTGGATCAAAACGATTGCTACGTGGTTGTGCCCTGGGTCAAGAAATTACCTAGGGTGAACAGCAGAGCGGTCAGGAGTGAAACCTTTTAGCCGCAAACCGAATACGCAGCCAAGCACTTGAAAGTGTGGGAGCGAGTATAGGTAATCGATTAAGTTCGGTAGCCGTTTATCAAAATACTACACTCGCTATTACTATAAGAACGCCGGTGAGACAGCTAACTGAGAATAGGGGAAACATTTGCAAGATGGTGTAGTAACTTTTGAAATGTGTCAAAGTACCTGGCTCAAACAAACGTTCCAACAATAAGTTACTTCGCCTACGTACACAGTGAACCTATACGTCTGAGGTGTGTTGCATAGCAAGCTGCAGTCAGATAAAAAATTTCTCTGGTTGTTATACCCGTACAACCGTTGTAAAAGCTCAAGTAGCGATCATAAATGAGGTAAATAAAATAGCTGTGGTAGTACGTATGAGCTAATGTTGGGTCATTTGAAATACGAGCTATGTTCATATATGCTTGCTACCGGATCAAGAATCAGGATTATTTGAGTTACGTTATGTGAGAGAAGGTGGATGGTTAAGTACAAATTTCCAATGTTTTATTCTTAATTGGTATTGCGTTTGTTACTTGACAGACCGAAATAAAAAGAAGCACCTCTATTATGGCTATCTACTGCAGCACAACAGCCGGTCGACTATCCCCAAAGCATATGGCCTGCCATCATTTACATCGACAAGATAGGAATGCAAGCGTTTGCACGTCAAATCTGCACTAGGTGCACATTCAACAGAGTTCTCCGAGGCTCTCTCAGTTAATAGCCGCAGCGAAGAGTGGTTTGCCGTCTCCGTACCCCACGTGAACATTGTGGGAACAGTTCTCTCCATTTGAAACCCCCAAGTAACTCCAAGTTGACCGGTGAATTACTTCAGCCGTGTATGTTTCTGCTTATTTGCATAATCGTCGGCCCGTAGCCTAGAGGTAATGAGCTTGTCTCGTAACCTTGTGGCGCGTGTTCGAATCCGCGTAGGAGTGGGCGCCCCAGTGGTATACTCAGCCCGCGTGCGACTGGTGGTGGGCGCACGGCAGTGAAGCGCCCTTACAACCTACAGCTGACACATCTCATCTATTCGCATAATCCCAGCAGGTGAAGTGGCAAATAGCAATGTATACAGGGCAGTCTGCAAACTTTCCAAACTTAGACAACTTGCCTTTTATCGATTAAATGCTCAGTCAATCTAAAGAGATGAGTCGATGATCCTTAATGACCAAAGCTCAAGCATCAAACTGTTTCCCCGGGTTGGATAGGAGTAATAAGAGGAAACTGTTTGCATATTTTTTCGTTGCCTTGCTCTTTGCAGAACTAAAAGGGGACAGCGGACTTTTCCAATGATTTTTCTAACCTCCTAATATTGTCCAGTTCAACACAGTGTTTCTGTGCTTTTGGCCAATACTTAATACGAGCCTACACTAAGCTACACATACCACCTTAAGGATATCAGGTCCCGTTTTCTTCTAATTTCTGAATTGGAACCATCCGATATCACCAATTGACCGTGTGCTGGGATCTGAGAACTGCCACTGTTGTTTCCAACTTCCAAGTGTTCCCTCTTTGCCGAAAGCTTGTTATCTCATTAGAAAATACAAATTGCCGAGTAGGGTATATCGTGGCTCATGATTTTTAAAGGCGGTAAATACGGAAACCCGGCTAAAAGTTCGCGCACTGATTCCTAACTTATGCTATCCCGGTCTACTTTTAAGCACTTCAGAGACAGCCATTTGTATCGGCAATCTTACGTGTAGCCAACGAAACCAATAATACGCATACAGTCACCTTAACCACAATGTCTGAGAGGATGCATTTCACGTCTGCGTGGACAGCAGGCTATACTGAACGCCGAATAACATAACAACCTATCGACTTTTCCACACAAAGTGGTCAAACTTTTGTTGTTAGATTTACGTGGCCAATCGTTAAATCATAGTTTTCATGGGTGCATTTCATGTGTAATAAAAACGTTCGCACGACTTTGACAGGAAACAAGAGAGCGGTTGCCATTAGAGGGGGGGTATCCGATTAACAATAAGCTTGCTAATACGAGTGCAAACGGAAGTTTATCGTACCGTCTTCTGCGTATAAATCCCACAGCGGTATGCGTCCAAAGGAATCTCGGTGCGCTCAGTTGTTGCATCGTAGCGATGGCCGTACGGTGGCCTGCCCATCGTGTTGACCTGGTTTACTTCCTACTCGTCACGTCTTCAGAATCGAGAAAGGGATTAGTATCATCAATCTTGAGTGGATTTCCGAAACACTCGAAACTAACCACCGAGCCCAATAATGGATAATAAGGAATGCATCCGGTTTAAGGGCCAGAAATGTAGATCCCTCAGCTGCTTGCAGCTTAATCATGCACATGCTAAGCTAATCATTAATGCCTGGAAGAAATTACTGCTCTTAGTGAATGATTGCGTTCATATAACGGGCTTCCTTCTCGTGTATCCCAGGGAATAGACAGTTGTTTCAAGTTTATATTAAACAAAATCTTCATCTGATGCAAATACCAGGACTAGAATCCTAACGTATGCATGAACTCACTGTGTAACGTCTAGTCCTGTGAGAAATTCTGATGCTGTTGTATTTAGTAATGCTCAGGGGATTCAACCATCAATTTGGGATCTTTGCCCTCCATCGATCAGAGAGCAAGAAAGGGGCTCTGAACAGGGTACAAAGTGACAATCAAATCCGTGTCGATTTTGCTTCCAATGTGACTGTAGCATGTAGTTCTAGTCAAACAACGTCCGCGGCCCCACAAATGACCACTTTCGAGCTATTGGGTCTCCGTATGGACTAATCTACCCCAGTCTAGCTGGTGGGTATCCACTTCAAATGATTTAACTCCATTAGGCTGCACTATCACGGAGTAACTGTTGAACTTGTACTAAGGATACTTGATCGCACATATCATGTAGGCTACCACTTGCTTTGTACCCTAGGAATTCACCCAATCAGCGTGTGAATAAGCTAAGATTTATGCTACTGCACCCGACAACAGTATGACACATCAGATGCACTCAAACGAATATCTGAAACCATTCGATTATTATAATCTTTCTGTCTTAATGTATGGTTGTTAGAAATACAAGTACAGTGTGCCGAATTTGTATAACTGATTCGAGTCTCTGAGTAACAAGGACCAAAGCTGCTGTAACGAGAGCACTTGAAGGGTTGTCGGACAAAAGTGAAGTGTCATGTAGTGAAGTGTCATGCGCTCAGTTGAGGAAGGGAATGTAATTCGGTTTAGGAGCATAGGTATGTTTAGATGTGTCCAATTCGTTAGACTGCTGGCTTTCGAACGGTTGGATTGCATGGACATTTTGACCCAACCATTATTTCGAACGTGATGCACAGTCATGCTTGCTTTTTGTACGCCATTTTGTCGCACTAGCAAACTGTCAAAATATAGAATTATAGCAGACAGTATCTACTCGAGAAACCCCGGTGGCAAACTATCGTCAATGTTCAGCTAACGGTGTCAGCCTGCCTGTGATCTGAGCTTCTCCACCATATTTCGTGTAGTGTCCAAACACAGCAATTAGGTAGTGGTTGTTAAGTGGTGTCTCTGGAATGTCGTTCGTCTTACCCACTTCATCATCCAAATCGCGTAACTGTCCGTCAATGGTTTCGGTGTGCCTTTAAGTCATCCAGTTGCCATCGTTGTTAACTTACGACACGCAGTCAGAGTGAACATCGGACAGGGATCAGAAGGTGTA